AGTATAGAATTTGCTGATTTCCTTGGTGCATATAAATATTCCCACCATGATTAATATCTAGCTACAAGCCTGAGATCACTAGAGAGAGAGGTTCAGTGGCAGATCATTATATATTAGTTTCACCTTAAGAATATGAGTAATATGCTGTAAAATAATTTAAAAGCATGTATTGTAAGTATTGTCTATGTTTATTTAAGCACAAATCCTGAAAAATTAATAATTGGCTTTTGCCAGCTCCAGCATGCCACTGATAGATAGTTGAATAAAATTGTAGAGGTTGAATGCATAAAAAATATATAATTTATTATTGTGCAGGTGAAGAGGCAACAACAGGCCAAGGTGACTTTTTAATTTTATACTGGAATTTTCAAGGAGAGAGGTTGAGAGTGGGAGGAGTAGATTCAAGAGGAGAAATTGCTGACTACACTTGCAGTCTGTTTAGTTTTGAGAAACTTGAGAGTGTTTGAAATATAGGTCTTCCTTTGTGCTCAAAGAAAGGGCCATCACTTTGGGACTCCTTTGTATGGAGACTATTACTGAACCATGAATGGGAATGAGATAAAGGAGGATACAACCTTGGAGCATTATCCTACCTTTCAAGAAAAGGCAATGGCATATAAATTAGCTTAAGAAATGCAGATGGAACAATCTAAAGAGGCAAGTGGATCAAACAACCTAACAAAAATTACATACTGAGATACAGTCTGAAGGGGCACCCTTCACTTTCTGAAGATGACATTTAGAGTTCATCTTTGGTTTTTTTTTTTCCAACTTAGTAGGAATTCCTCCCTCTCAGAATCAGTGGAACCATGACCCAAGACCACAACACAGTTCTTTCTAATGAATTTCATCTACCACATGTTTCAGCTTATTCTGTAATATCTTGGGATAATTACCAAATCTCCTCCTTTCCTACTGTCAACCTGAAGAGGACATCTGATGTTTCCCATATTCCCTCAGCCAGTGTCATGGAAACCAGGGAAGAGGGGCTTTTCACGGAAACCACATTAGGGGTAGTCAAGCAGCTAAAGGGAGGTTCTGGAGGAGCAGGCTCCGACAAAGCCACCATGCTTGGCAATTGCTGCTGACCCAAATGGCAGAAAGCAGGATGAAGTAACAGGGGTGCTGTGAAACATGCTGCTAAATTTTAGCATCTCAAACCTGCATTTGAGTCTCTGTTCTGCCACCTGCCATGAGCTGTATGACTCAGAGCAGTACCCAAATGCTATGAATCAGGAAAGGGAAAAGGAAACCAGCATTTACGGAATGCCACGCAGGCACTAGGCACTGTGGTGGGAAGGCTCTTGATTGCTATCTCATTTGCCATGACAACGCATGTGAAAGCAGGAAGTTCCTTGAATATGAGATGGTGGTTATTGGAAATAGGCAGACAAAAGGGAGACCAGCTTGAAGCGGTAGATGATAGCAAGATTTTAATAGCCAAATCTCCAATGATCCTGGAGCTGGAGCGACACTAGCATAATTTTGCTAACATCACATTGTGTGTTCCTTGCTGTCAACTTGTGAGGTAGAATTTCAGAATGCACTTTGTAACTTCTTCTTTCTCTGTGTTTCCAGAACACTTGATATGTTTAAGTCAGCCTTAAGACTTAATGGATGATAATACTTACTCATTAACTAATGTTAATTATCACTATCAGATTTAAGGAAAGAGAAAATGACAGGGAAACCCTGCCATCTCACAAGTTTATTTAGTAAATAAACTAAATAATTTTGTGATTTTTTTTCCCTAGTGTCACACAGCCTGAAAAAAGTACTTTGAACTTCACTGTCTTGCAATCTTGCATCAAGCTAAACACATATCTAATATTTAATAATAATATTAAACCCTTCAAGAACTTTTCTCTCTCAAGAAGAGATAACATAAATTCCAAGTCAGCAAAAATGGATAGTGAACAATATTTTGTGTTTTGTGGGAAGAAAAACTATTCATCATAGCTTCTCTTTTGTTCCTTTTCCCATACTTTAGGATTTAGACTCAGGCACATATTTAATTCTATTTCTCTGTTTTGTTTTTGGTTTTTTTTTGAAAGAATATAATCAAGAAAACATAATGCCTTTTAGAGTTGGAGTTATTCCAACCAGTTTCGCAAGATTCTGTAGTATCTTTCTGCCAGACACTAGAACCATGCATCATCCAGACATTTAAATGGTCCCTGATGCATATTTTAAGAAAATACTCCTGCCAGTTATCTAGAATTGACTTGATATACAAGGCTCAGTATTAAGACTTACAGTGTGGATTCCACTAGAAAGAACTACAACGTGAAGTTGTATTCATTTAGAAGCAATGCCCAATTAAAATGAAGACAATTTAGAAAGACAACACAGAAAAAAGTAAAAGATGATACTCGTACTTTTAGAAACTGACAAACGTAGGGTTTGAAAGAAAGTCAGAAAGATGAACCTTTGCATTTTAAATCTGACACAGGTCCTTCTAACTGCAGTTCAGTTGTATACCAACAGACCAAGATGGAGAAACCACTTAATGTTTCCAACCTTCTCATTCCATACCAAGCACTATGCAGAGTGATCTTAGATATTCTTCACATAATTCCGAAACTTCAGCTGACACAGAATTGCATTCAGAGACTGAAAGAACCCTGCTTCCTAAGTAGGTTTTCCTTGCTTGAATGGGCTGGCTGCTCCTTACATAAGGCCTCTATGCCAATCACAATTTCATTTACTTATTTCACAAACGTTACTGAATGTTTAGTGTGTACTCTTGGTGCAGGGCACATACAATGCAGTTGCTGTTCTCAAGATGTGCACTGTTGTTTATGAATGTCTACCCTTTCAGATTAACTAATTATACAGTTTAACTGAGACCATAGTGGAGGGGTATTTAAGGTACTAGGGGATCTAGAGAAGAGGATGGTTCATACTAAGTAGGGAAGTGGGGATAGACAATGACAGGGAAAACTTGCCACCTACCAAGTTTATTTAGTAAATAAAGTGAATGAAACGGGACTTCATGAATCTCACTGCATTGGAGCTGCCATGCTAACAGTGCTCCATGTTCATGTTTATATCTGGTTTCTAATTGGTTTGGTGCTAATGATTTCTAAGACTCTCTGTACCAAGAAGACTTTTGCATGATATCTCAATGTCATGTCAATTTGTGGGTTTAAAACGTGAATGGGGTTTTATTATCAGCATTCAGGGATTCTCTGGCATAAGACATAAAGCAGTAGGTAATTTTAAAATAATGTTTATATCAAATTTTCTCACTTAGCCTGGTCTACAACCACAGGTATCTATGTGGAAACTGGATTTGATCTACATTGTTCAGTAATTAAAGTATTATTTTGTTAAAACATATGTTCTCTTACCATCTTATAGCCACAGAGCACCAGAGAAAATTTGCCATTTTAGTTGAGACAAGCACCCCAGTGCTCACTAAAGTCATTTATTTTGGAGTTCTGGTCTATTCCTTGCACAGGGACCTTGCCAGACATATGAAAATTTTCACACATTGCTCCCAGAGCCAACAGTATGATTTTATAAGTCATTTCTTCTCCTTTGCTGTTTCAGCACTCTCAATTCCCCATCACTCCTGTCTTTCAGGTCCCATTTCAAATGCCACATTGTCCACAAAGTCAACATTATTTTTCTCCTCTTGTATGACAGTTTTATAAACTAGTATATTCTTTGATAGATTCTGAGATAGAATTAAAATCCAAGTCATCATCATTATTGCATCCCATTTCACTTAGCGAAGTACTTCATAGTTCTTTGAAAAGATGGACAGTCTGGTTGAACAGGCAATTAAATGGACTCTTAGACACACTGATGACAGCAGGTGGCCTATAGCAAATGAAGGAAGCTACCTCTTACTTGATATCTAAGAAGTTGATCCATACCTATTCATGTTGACTGTGTGTTGACCAGTCAGGTAAACATGTCTGATGAAAAGAAAAAGAAAATATTTTGGACTGAACCATTTTTGACACATAATGTACTACTCAGCCTGAAAGATTTGATAAATAGTAAGCACACAAGGTATATGTTGAAGTTGTAAAAACACAGATGTATTATCTTCCTAGTATTCTTTTCAACTATAGGATATTTCAATGTTTCAGGCACCTGACTCTTTAATCCAGTTCAGAAAATTAGATTCTCCTTGCAATGACAGGTCTTGTCTAGCCATTGTGCATTGTTGACTTTCTCATGGCCTCTTCTTGAATCTTTTTCTACCAACTGGAAAATGACCCATGAGTCCAAAAGTAATGGAGTTTTAAAAACGCCTTAGAGCTCTTCCAGTAGCAAAAATTGAGGTCTTTATTTTCACACACAGAACACTTGGATTTCACCTGGAATTTCAAGATACATTCAACTTGGAAGAAAAATGGAAGAAAACAAGGAACATATACTTTCCACCAATGGCTTGTCGTTAAAAATCTCTTTCCAGAATACTCTATGCTATTTTGTGTGCAGCATTTTAATATATTAATTATATACGTCTCACTAAATTAGTCTTAGGACTTCCTTATTGAGTTTCAGAATATGAGATGTTTTAAGTTGAGTGATTTACTTAATGCTTTGTTTTATTTATTTATTTATTTATTTATTTATTTTGTATATTGAACCACAGTATTGAGAGTGTTTGGGGAAGAAAGCCTTCTTAGATCTTGACCAACATTTAAAAATAGCTTCTAAAATGTAAATACCCTAAATATTTGTATTTTTATGTAATGTTTTAAAAAATATACATGTTGCATTGTTGTGATCAAGGTGCATGGTAATTGTGGATTTAATGTTTCTACCTGATGAAATTAAACTAATTTGGCTCAGTATTTGGTTCCCTGCATTCCAGTAATGGTGCTTAATAATACTTTTGACTTTAGAGGGATAGAAAATCATCACAATAACTCCAGTAGAATTCCTGATTTTAAAACATAGTTAATAAAAATAATAAAATTACTTTTATTATGTGTTGGTTCCCTGATAATTTTGGCTTTTCTCTGTTTGCCTTGCAGTGCGGGAGTTGGCCGGACTGGTTGTTTCATCGTAATAGATGCCATGTTAGAAAGAATAAAGCATGAAAAAACTGTAGATATTTATGGCCATGTAACTTTAATGAGAGCCCAGAGGAATTACATGGTTCAAACAGAGGACCAGTACATCTTTATCCACGATGCACTGTTGGAAGCAGTGACTTGTGGAAATACCGAAGTGCCAGCCAGAAACTTGTATGCCTACATCCAGAAGCTGACACAAATAGAAACAGGCGAGAATGTCACAGGCATGGAACTCGAGTTCAAGGTATGGCATCAGACGTGATGTGGTTATTAGGAGCAGGTCAATTCTGGGATTGTCTTTGAGAAGTAGCCTTACTTCCTTAACCTTTCAAATTTTGAAGTACAAGATTCATTTGACCTTTAGGATCCTCAGGTATCTGATTATAAAACAATTTCTTCCTCATTTTCCTTTCTATTCTTTGCTTCGTAACAATACCTTGAGCCCTTTTGTGTCTTAATTTGAGAGCTCAGACTCTCAGAACATAACATTTTAAAACTTTGATAGGCAAGTTGAAATAATCAGGTAGATGTAAAATGCACAGCAGTACGAATAGTCATTTATTTTAAAGCAAACAAGATTTATATCTAAAAACAACATCTTGGCTACCTTCCATTCAAGCCCCTGGCCAAAATTATCTTTGTAATTTTTTTTCTTTTTTTTTTCCATTCAACAGCGTCTAGCCAGCTCAAAAGCTCACACCTCAAGATTCATCAGTGCCAATCTTCCATGTAATAAATTCAAAAATCGCCTTGTTAATATTATGCCATATGAATCCACAAGGGTATGTCTGCAGCCTATCCGAGGAGTAGAAGGATCTGATTACATCAATGCCAGTTTTATTGATGGATACAGGTATATACTCTTGCACTCCTGACAACCCAAAGCCTTGATATTTACATGTGCCCTAGTTTCATAACCAGAAAGAATTTCATCTCAATTCAAAGCCATTTTCTTTCTGCATAGGTCAGCACTCAGTCCCTTGGTATTTGTTTTTTATTATATTGGATAGGAGTAAGAAGCAGCAGTTATGGAGGTTTTTAATCTGACCTTTTGCACTCTTCTTTGAGAATACATTTGGATTTGAAAGGTGTTAATAAAGAAGCTATTTTGCACCATATTTCATAAATTTAATAGATTGCGTGAGAGTCATTTCTACAAAACGAAGCTGCATAACTATTTAAGTGATTTGTATGACACATGAAATTGAGCTATTAGCATTACACTAAAATTTAAATAGTAATGATAAAGTCGTACATCATAATATTAACAAAGCAATTTATTTTGCAAAATGTATTAAATGCTCTTGTTTGATTATGTAATCTGAAAGGGAATTTACAGCAATTGCATTAATAATGTATTCATTTTCTATTACCAGGTTTGATGTTTACAAATCAGGTGTGAGCTTTTGTATGTTCTCGAAATACTTTAACAGGCTCTTTTCATCCTCTATAATTCAGACAACAGAAAGCTTACATTGCTACCCAGGGACCCTTGGCAGAGACCACTGAAGACTTCTGGCGGATGCTGTGGGAACACAATTCCACCATTGTTGTGATGCTCACCAAGTTGCGTGAAATGGGCAGGGTAAGTGTATCACCACCTAAGAGATTCACTCTCTAGAGAAGAGGGGATTTCATTTTACCAAAGTACCGACCTCATTTCTTTGAAAAACAGACACAATATGGACCATTCATTACTCCTTGTTGGTTTCTAATTTGCAAAACCACATGGAGCTGTTTGTGTGTTTTGAGGAAAGATCTAGTGATTTGTTTCCAATGAAGCACAATCATAGGGACAAATGAGTCAGCAGGTGCTCCTATTAGATTTACATGTAACTCAACATATTCTTACTTCCTTTTGCTCTGGACAGGCTGGAGTTTAATAAGTAAATGTGCTATCATCTCTGTATGAGGGAACTTGACTTTTTAACATTCCTGGGACTAATTCTTACTTTCCTACCTTGAATGACCACTGAATAATGTGTTGGAAAGTTACATAGTGTCTCCAAGGATGTAATCCCAGTTGTATTTAAATGATGACTCTAAAATAATCATAAAGTAATATTAGAGATACCTAAGGACCTACCACTTAGATTCAGAACACAAAAGCATTTTAACATGCTTGCTAAAGCTATTTTTTCTCTTTTCTTTATATACATTAAAATGGTAGATATACATCTGAAACCCAATTTTTAAAGCCCATAGAGAAACAAAAAATACTATCAGTCTAGAAAAGTAACTGACTTATTCTAATTTTGCATATGATTCTCCACAGGGCTTACTCAGGTCATTAAAACTGCCTGGGCCCTGGGTTCCTTAGTGGTGTTGGACTAGATCAGTTCAGAGGTTTCTTGCTGTGTTCACATGGATGATTTCCTTCATTCCAAACCACAGTGGTGCAAGTCAGCTATGGTGGTGTGATGCCAATTGGATAACTTGTAGATAGAAAGATACCCACCCTGTTGAAGTGTTCAACAGATGTGTATTACGCAGTTACTATATGCCAGGTCCCATGCTGGATATCATGGGCAAATTTCAAAACAGATGGTTTCCCTATCCTCAGGGAGCTTTGGGTTTTTAAACAGAAAATGAGTTAGATACACTTGAAATGGCCTTGATTTTCAAAATTTTATTAGTGAAAGAGATGATATATTGACATGCAAAATTTTATTTTCACTTCATGTAGTTTAACATAGATCTCTCCTTTCAGGAGAAATGCCACCAATACTGGCCAGCAGAACGATCTGCAAGATACCAGTATTTTGTTGTAGATCCCATGGCTGAGTACAACATGCCACAGTATATCCTAAGAGAATTCAAGGTCACGGATGCCAGGGTAAGTTGACAGTCTTAACCATTAGCTGAAAATTCATCCAAAATACACTTTTTCTGGGAAAAACATTTGCCAAGTAGTCATACTCCCAAAGAGAGAAGAAATCACCCATTCTGGATGACTTTTTTTTTTTTTTTTAAATATGTAAGAATAACTTTTCCTCTGTCTGGCAAGCATTCTCACAAACCCAGATTTGGCTTCTATTCAAATGAAACATCTGGCAGCCCAACTTTGGGGATGCACTTTGAGTGAGTGTGTTGGGAAACATTTACTGATTGGTTGGCTGTGCTTACATTCACCTTCTCAGCTCATTCTCTTTGGAGGTTTTTTTGATTTCTTCATTACTTGAGGCTGTAAATATGTTGTTGTTTTGCAAAGCCCTTTAGGTCATGTGGGCTTGGAGGTTAATTTGGTATGATTTTAAAACTGCAGAGCAAATGGCATTCTTTAGAAGAATCTGACAAGCTTTGCACATTCTAATTTGATTCCTGGCATGGTTTATTCCTCGGTGTGCTAATATGTCTGTCTATGAGAGCTGTGCACCCATGACCCTTGTTGGCTAATTTTCATTCTGCATTTTTTATCAAGATTGCTGGGTCCAAGGTTCATTCCTGAAGTAAGATGTTTTAGGCATAAACTTTAATATCTTCGTCTTTGGCCACTTTCAAACCATGATTTCAAATACTTCTTAGGGGAGACTAGGTCAGTTCAAAGCCCTGCTTTGTTTTGTCACCATGGGTTGGTGGAGCAAAACTCCAGAGTAAAGCTATTTACTAGATCCATTGTTTTTTTGTTTTTCTGATTTTTTTTCCTAGAAATCAGCTTTCTTCAAACTCACATTTGGAGATTGTCTACTAATGCCTAAAGCTTGGTTTATTTACCTAAATAGAGAGAAAGCGGTTAGGAGGGTTGGCCCTAGTAACAGATGTGTTAATCCAAACTGTCTGAAGTAATAACTACCCAAAGGTGACAATATTCAAGGCGGCAATGTTTCTGGTCTCATGTTGAGTTGGGATGACTAACCCTAATCTTTACAAAAACAAATAAGTAAATAAAAATGCCCTTTCAACGTATGTGACTAAAAATCTTAAGTGCCTTCTTCAAGTAAACTCACAAACTATTTCTGATGATGGAGACCAAGAGGCAGGCTCTGTCAGTGGAAGAAACATCTTTACTACTCTCCATATTTCCAAATTAAATCTGATTTCAATAAGCAAAGGAAATAGTAAGAACCTGCTCACATGTTCTCTTTTTTAAGTCTCCCTGTGATTGTGTAATTTTCTTAGCTATCACAGCACTTGCTGTTTGTGCTCCTGGTGTGCTTCTAATTTCAACTTCCCAGTTTAGAAAGCAAGTTGGCACTTGAGAGTACAGTATTGTTAAACAGGTCACCTTTAAATGGAGTTGGGTGGTCTCTCCTCCAATAGTAAAGGTTTGTGCATGTGACCTCTTCGTGCTGTTAAAAGCAACTGTGGTCAGAAATGAAATCCCCAGGACATTCAGAGGAGAACAAACCTACATTACCTAGTCTCACTTCCCAAACCTTTTCCAGGAACAGGAGGAAGTAAATCATGCTTCTATGGTAACCATTTACAAGTTGGTTATGGAGCCAAGCAATTATTTCTGTATTCCTGTGTGTTATCACAAAGTCACTGTGTTCTTCCTCTTCTACCTCCATCCCCAGATGGATTCTAACCTGTGCCTATAGGAACCACCAAACTAGTTGAGTCACCCTCTTCTCAGTATGACTGAAGGAGAACAATTGAGCCTCTGTCACTTACACAGAATGTTGGGAACACAGCTGCCTATGTCAGAAAAAAAGTATATAGAAAGGAAGAAGCCTCTTCCAATGGGATCAGTTTTCCTAGGTTGGAAGCTTGGATTCTGTCTCTCCTGATAAGTCAAAGGAGAAATTTGATAGGCATGATTAGTATTCCTGCTTCTGTGAGTTGAGGGTCCTTTCTGCTCCAGTGCTTCCAAAAAAAAAAAAAAAATTCCCAGAAGAATCAGAAGTGTTTTAATATCTTTTCTTCAAACCATCATACTTCACCAGTCAGAGCAATTTCACCTAGTCACTTCAGTGAAGAAACATCTGGATTGTTTTCTTTCTGCCTTTTGGGTTATATCTGTAAAAGTATCCCAAAGCCTTCTTAATTCCTGTCATCAGCCAGGAAGAGTTCTTTAAAGAAAAGGGCATTTATTTGGAAAAAAAATCACTTTGGTCTCCTTAAGGAATATTTCACTTCCAGCTCAACAACATAGGTACCTGCTATGTCACTTGCCATGGTTAGAAACTATGTCTCTGAGACAGGTTGGGCATCCAGGTTAACAGTATCTACCTGGTCATTGTCAGATCCTTTAAATGTCACCAGTCGGGACTTGACAATGCAAGCAATAAGCAAGCACAGTAGATGTGAAATTATGACAACACCAAAACCTCTCTGCTCTGGATATTTCTTTTCATATTCAGAAGTTAGAAAATTCTGAAATTTCTGAAAGAGTATATTTGTTCCATTTTAGAAAGAATGTGGACTGCATGAATAATTCTGAAACCAAACTTTGGGTCTCAGAAACATTTATGAATAGAACTATTTGGCTACTATCAGAGAAGCTAGGTTTTTAAAAGAAGGCATTGTGAGTAAATTTGATTTAAATATAATAGCAGCTAAGATACATACACACTTAAGTTTCCAGTTAAATGTGTTACTAACTTTTTCTGCCCTTTTCATTTTGGGAAAAAATATGATTGCTCTTGTGGTCTATGCGCTTGCTGCCCCCTCCTCTGTGGCCTGGTGTGTGGTTTTCCCTGTAAAGGACGGCCAGTCCCGAACAGTGAGGCAGTTCCAGTTCACTGACTGGCCAGAGCAAGGAGTGCCAAAGTCTGGAGAAGGATTTATTGACTTCATTGGCCAAGTCCATAAAACAAAAGAACAGTTTGGCCAAGATGGACCCATTTCAGTCCATTGCAGGTGAGTTGAGAATCATGAATGCTAACTTTCTGTTTGTGGTTAGTGCATAACAACATTGAAAATAAGTGTTATTGCCATGAATCTGCATAGTTGAAAATTTATTCTCAGAAACACATTGTGAAAATCAGAGGAAAATTTTTATCTCTCAAATTTACCTTTTATAGGGAAAAAAGCAAACTGTGGTTTTCCTTGCTAGGAAATGTTGGTATTTTCCCTAATCGTAATTTATTGTGTCAATCCATTCTTATTTGCTTTACTTTCATAGCATTGCACTGATAACTATCTTTCTCCTGTGTTTGTCTTCGAAAATCATAAATAGCTATCAAGCCTTAATGACAATACTAATTCTTGCCAGTTGATAAGTGATTCGAATGGTACCTCACTTAAAAATGCAATTTGCTTGAAAATTGTTGCTACATAAGAAAATGAAGCACCTTCAACTTAATTATTTTCAACAGTTTCTAGAGCATTTTATAATTTAAGTCATTGAAGTTAATAGAAATACCAAGTAAACGATTTAGACATTCACCATAAATTTAGTGCTTTTGGAAGGTGCTATGCAAAAAAACCTGTGGTAAACAGAATTTATCTAATTTTACTTAAACTACTATATTTTAGGATGCTGGCAACTTGAAGTCTTAGTATCTAATCTTTTTTATGGTCCTGGAGGATTTTATCAGGTTTATTTATTTTTGGTACCAGGAGTTGAACCCAGGGGTACTTAACCACTCAGCCACATTCCCAGCCTGTTTTTATTTTATTTTTATTTTTATTTTTTTGAAACAAGTTCTTGCCAAGTTCCTGAAGCTCGCTTTGAACTTGTGAGTCTCCTACTTCAGCCTCCCAAGCCACTGAGATTATCAGGTTTGTTTTGCTTCGGTATTTGAAAGAAGAAAAAAAAAATCTAGTTCTTGGTGACATTGGAGGCAGAATCTCAAAAGAGCACAAATATTAGTCTGGGTTCTCAAGATATGTGTTCTCATCCTAATTCTACTCTTATGTAGCTCTGTGACTTTAAATGTCTCAGATGACCTCTAAAAGCCTTTCTAGCACCCCTGTCTTCTCAGGTCTATTCTAGGAGAAAGAGATCTTACTTTTATGCATTTTCTTTATGCTGAGTTATCAAAAGCCCTTTGCTCTCTACAAAGCAAAGAGCATGTAGAATGTGACAGATAGACTCAAATATTCAAAGTGGATGTTGTATACCTGACTTGAAATACTTGACACTAGAAATTTTGCACATAATTTGCCCAAATGCAAATTCAAACTTTTTCAATATGATCTATGAGGAAAAGAATGTTTAACTTAATACACATTTTAGCTGTGGACATTCTCACAGGTACATAAGAGTATGTGTCTGTTTCTTCTCATTGCTTTTATCATCACACAAGGATTTAAGCACTTAGTGTAAATACTGTGGCATGCTCTTCACACACCTTAAATACATATATTTTGAAGACTTCTTGATATCTGCTGTTATCTGGGAATGGCCTGAAAATACCACTTCTCTAATTTATAGCCTATTAAAGTAACATGATAAAGTCAATAAATTTAGAAGTTATAAGGTCAGTGCCTTTCTCGAAAATACTTTATAGAAAGCCAGAAACTGTATTTTTGTTACAATGGAGCAATTCAATCAACATAAGATAGACTCTGGTGTACCTGAACCATTCAACAAAAAAATTATAGGTCACAGTCTCTCAGGACTAAGGCTTTCAAGGTTCAAAGGGACCTTCAAGGTCATCTTCTCTGTCTTAGCAGAAGCCTTGGCTGCTGCTGGACATCCTCAGTTACTGTTTAAAGACTGCATATGGATTTTAAAGCCTCACTTAACATTTTCGTGTAGAAACTGCAGTTTATAATGGGACACACTATTTATATATGCCCATCAGCTACATCCCCTGGTAAATGAATCCATCCATTTTCTCCAGCCTTTGCCCAGGCTTTACACGTGCCATTTAATTAGGATCCAAAAATGTAGGGGTTTTTGAGATTATTCACTGTTTTCCTCATTACCTAAACCTCCAGATGCCTTTCTACTTCTTAAGTGCACACGAGCTATGAATTCAGTTTTCATTGTTGCTGCTGTGAAGATTCTGGAATTATCTGGAAATAGTAAAGACAACAGAGTAACTCAAAACCCTGGGGTTTCAGCTGCTGATCACCTTAAAATAGTAAAGCTTTGTTTTACATTAAAGTCCCCTTTGAGAATCTGTTGAACATTATGAGTTCCATGGAACAAATGACATTTCCCTAACACATACATACAGGGTATTCATAAACTCTCCCTGAAGACTAAGTGAAAAATCCTCTCGTATGGGGTGGGGGGGGACTGCTATAGAATCTCTAAGCCAATGTCAAATTTAAGAGGTGATAGGGCACCTTGCAGACTTTGACTACAAAGTGAATGAGGCACTAGAAAAGTTGAAGGTGCCCAGTTTGCTTCATCATCTTCTGAATTATTTCATCCTCTGAAAATATTCTTATAAGCAAGGTCTAGAGTGTCAGGATCTGCATGAATACCATAAATGTATTTTTTTACCCCTTTTTTTAAAACCCTTTCTCTTATCCATTTATTTTGCAATGTTTGTTTTCCTGGTCCTTCTAAAATGGCACGTAACCCCAGTTGAAAAGTCATTTGAAAGACAATCTCATGTGTTATCACAACACACTATCCCAAGAGCAATCCCTTAGTGAACTCAATTCCACATTTTCCTGAACAAAGCTGTGGAGAAACTTGAAATGTAGAAGAATGTCCACCCCCAAGCAAAAGCAGCTGAGAGTATGAGCATTTCAAGTAGGAATGTTGCTTTTGTTTTTCTGGCAGCGCGGGCGTTGGAAGAACTGGTGTCTTCATAACTCTGAGCATTGTTTTGGAAAGAATGAGATATGAAGGCGTTGTAGATATCTTCCAGACCGTCAAAATGTTAAGAACACAACGGCCAGCTATGGTACAGACAGAGGTAAGGAAAATCTTCATGAGTTTGTCACATCTCAAAAGCTTGTGTTTCACTAGGTAGGATCTCCCAGAGTCCAGACACAAAAGATTATGGAAAAAACATCAAATGTTTAATGTTGTTCAACTTCATTTGCCCCTCTTTAAATGGAGTGAGAATATTCGTATCTTAGTGTCAGAGAGATTTATGAGAGTCTGCATTCAGCTAAACTAGCTTAAATTGTCAACATTTGACACCCACAAAATAGCAATTTATTATATACAATATTAATGATTAATACTTACCTCTTTATTATATAAATATAATGTATGGTACATAATATGCCCTCTCAGCCTATTTTACTTCAGCTGCTCTGTATTTCTTAAATATTGGAATCCTGATACACTGAGAGAAATTAGACCCCTATTTCCAATAATTGATATGGAAATTTCTCAGAAAAATGAGAGATCATGATTAAGCCAATTGGCCGAATGACCATTTATTTCTAAGGATTACATGAATGAAAGTGTATATTCCTCAAGGGGCCATGAAATTATGCAAATTTACTTATGTGTTCTTAAATTCATCATTCACAATATCTTCCAGACTTTGATTTCAAAATAGTGCAAGCATTTGGTTTGCAGTACTCAAAACATTATGTTGGCCTGACAAACTTAATGGGTGTTGGGGGTGACAGAGGGAAATTGGACATTTAAAGAGCCTTAACACTTAGCCAAACAACTTACTGTGACAAGATAGGAAAGCAAACTCCATTTATTTTGCATTACCATTTTTATTGTAGAAAAATGCACATTTAAGCAAAATAGAAACTATCTCCTTTCAGCCCCATTGGCTACCGAAAATAAGTTTCTTTTATAGGGAAGAAAATCCTACTTTCTCTCATCCCTATAGTCATCTATAAATTGTAATTTTTCCATCTCTCCAACAATCCTCCAATTTATTCCTGTATGACAGCATTCTGCCTTGTCTCTAAAAGGGCATGTTTCATGTGGGCCTCTCTCGCACAGAACTTGCAATCACACAGAATTAGGCCAAACTGCCCATGTAGTTTTTGTTGTGGGCAGCCAGTCTTGTAATACCATTTTCAGGGGTGAAAAGCTTGGAAGTCCAGTGCCCTATGTAAGTGACTTGTGAGCCTGGTATTCCATCTAGCTGCCTCTGTCACACATGAATGTCAGAAGTGATGGTGAGTGACTCTGATTGTGCAGGGTCTAGTGTCCAATCAGAGTTTAAACTCAGTTGGCAGTAGGAACTATAAATCCACATTTCCTTAAAGGCCATTTGTATTTCTATCAGCCTCTCTCATCTGATAAACTGAGAATTCGTTACCACAAATCAGGGATCATTGTAAAAGATGACTGTGGTGTGTAGGACTTGTGGGTTCGGCTGATGGTAGTTGTTAATACTTGGAAAATGGTTCATACTTGTCTGGAAGGTAATATTCACTGGAGTTATCACTACTTGGCATTAGGAGACTTTTAGTCAAATTGATTGGTAAAGTTAATAAACACCCCATGTGATTAATTACTCTTTGCTCACTATCACTGACTAGTCATTGGATTGAACTGATTAAAGAAAGTAGTGATTTTGTTTCCAGTTTGTTTTCCAATACAGCTTTTCATTTTCCTCTTCTTTCCCCATGCCCTGTCTCCTGCAGGATCAGTACCAGTTTTGCTACCGAGCCGCACTAGAGTACCTGGGCAGCTTTGATCACTATGCAACGTAGAAACCCCTGACCCTTTCAGGATTTTTACTACAGGCCCTTCGCTATCCATGGAGTCTCTTCTGAGCCATACAGGGCACTTGAGAAGTCCTTCTTAACTTCTAGCTAACAACCACTTAGTGGGACTATTACACACAAAACAAATTAAAAACAAACTATTCCAGGTGGACCAAGAATTCACAGTTTAATAATCTAACCCGAAAAATAATAAACGAGAATCCTGACTCATGAGGCATCTGAAGGATTTTATTTACAGATACCTCAAGGATTCAAAATAAAGGGAAGAAGAAATCACAGCAAAGAACCACCATCTCGTTCAGATTGCTTGATAGGTACAGAGCAAAATTGCCAGAGTGCTACGGTTCAGCGTGAGATGTTTGCTGGCGTGGCTTCTCACGATTTAGACAGACTCTGCTTCGACATCACCCCTTCCCACCATGCCACTCGTAACAGCATCTTAGGGGTGAGGGTGGGGATGTTTAAAAAGAAAGTCCTTGATTTAGTTTTTTAGTATTGTAAAGATACTGCTGACCTGTGCTTCATTTCTAACTGTGTAAACTTTTTTTTAACAAAATGTATCATTCGATAAAGTGAATTTTAAAAAAGTTACATAACTCCTCATTTTTTTATTTCCAAATTGTAGGTTTTTTTAAGCTGTCAAACTGTTATCTGTGATATCTTGCTGTAGAAATATCAAATAAGTTGGAAATTTGCACATTTTTGTGCAATACTCTTAATCTACAGTATCCATCTCATCAGATATTACTTTCACACTTCAATTTTGATTGATAAGAAAGTACCCATTCTCTTCAAATGATCAAAGAGAATCTTGTTTTGTTTTTGGAATCAACAGGGAAGCGCAAAGTATAAAGTTGCTGCTAACGTATATACATATATATCCATATTTTAGAAGGGTGTCTATGTATATATAGACAGTGTGACCACACAAAGATTTAGCTATCATTCAGTTCTTCCGCAATTTAAAGTTTTCTTAAGGGTAGAGCTATCGTAACATCTTCTTCAGTTTGTCCCTAATTTTACAACATTGGTGTTTCTTAATATCGCAAAACTTCAATTTTTTTTTAAAGGGAAACGAGGAATGCACATCAGTGATTGTCAAACCTCACCCCCTAATTTTTCCCCACCCACCCAATCATATTCACAGGTACCGTTTCGTTAGCCAGGCTTCCAACCAAGTTCGATATTTCTAACACTCTAGTGCAATAAAAAATTATTCAATATCTAAGAGGTGTGCATGTGGGAAAGGTCAGTGCATATCCCTTTAGAGGGGAGAATGTTGTAATATATCAGCTATCAAGTTGTTTAAAAAAAAAGTGTATTCAATCGTATATTGTCTATAGTATGTGCTATGAAATTTGCATTTATGATATGTAACAGGGGCAAAGCCAAACTCATGTTACTCTGTTCAGTCAGAAACATTTTGTGGTGTACAGCATTCCTGGGAAGTGCTGTACTCTGTTTTGTTTTGGTTTTAGTTTTGCATTTAGAGTGCCTTATAATTGATGCCTATTTTAATAGCATTTCTTTTTAGCTTTTGGTTCATATTTCCATTAGTTGTTCATATCTGTTACTCTTTCAATTAAAGCATTATCTGTTTACCACATGTACAAAAACTCTTTGAATAATATGCATTCCTAGTTTTCAACCAAGTCGGGGATGTTAGTGATTGTACCAGCCCAAAGCACTTGGATAATCAGGGCCCTTCCGTTCGTAATTGTCAACATCAGGAAAAGCTACTTGTTTTATTTATAATCCCTTCCAAATCTGTTCTGGAACATGCAGTAGCTGCACCCAACTTATTTTAGCAACACACATCATTGGCAACTTTGGGATATATTTGATATTCCATTAGGATTTTTCTGAAAGGGGAAATTAATATATATCTCCCCCAAATCTTCCAACTTCATTTCTATAGGAAGCCATGGATGGTGGCCAAGAGTTTGCCACATCACCTTACATGATTTTTAAGAACCCTCAAAAAAAAAAATCCTAAGAACTCTAAAAGTTTTGATATCAGTATAATATTTTCATTTAATTTTAACTTCATGGATATTCTGCATGGAAGGATATTTGTTTTCACATTTTTTTCCCATTGCTAGCAGAATGAAATCCAAGAGACCAAACACTTGCAAGCATCATATTTGAGCACTTTTGTAAAAAATTTAAAAAACAACAAAAAAAGAGAAAATATATATAATACTAAAAAAAAAAAAAAAGTATCTAGAAGGCTACCTCAGAATGAGACTCTCTAACCTACATCAGAACCAGAAAAGAATGTGCACTATGTGGGTCTGTTGTTGTTTTCTTTTAGTTTGTATCTTTTGAAGATTTATCCAAGTGCCAGATTACTCAGTGCTGTAATTTTCTTTTAATGAAACAAAGGGGGTCAGACAGACATTGCATCATCCAGACACGCCATGTCGGACATGTAGAATCTGATGGAGTATCACACACCAGAACCATTGGCCAGTGAGCAGTTTGTCTCCTTGAAACAAACACTGCCCATGTGGCAAAGGGAAAAGCGACAATAACCACAGGGAGAAAATGAATGGGATGCATACCATAGACGAAGGAGGTGGAGACTATTCCAGAAATCTTACTGTTCAGGAGCTGTTCCTAGAACTAACTCCCTTACTGTCATTGATGTGCATTCCACTCTGTACTTTTCTGTACAACCATTCAAGTTTTAATTTCCCAGGTAAACATCTTTATCTGCCATTACCATAAACTTTCAAGTTTTCAATTATTTTCATCATCATAACCAGTACGGTGCTATTATTTACCTATGTACGTGTAGTTATGTATAATTTTGTAATTAGTTACAATGGTAAAAAAATCAAAATATATAAAAAGTGATTTGTACAGAACTTTATTTTAGCTCTTTTTTAAAAATGATTTGCATGGTTAGACAATGGCGAGGACAGCCAGGGGAGGGAAGGGCCTCTAGGGAACTTTGCACTTTCTATACCTTTGTACTATGCACTGCCCTATTGATTCTACACCCAATAATGTTATTACTTGAACCCATCTGTAAGAAACTGCTTCAAAAATTCATTTATGTGTATGTAAATAACACAACATAAAAAGGGAAAGAAAAAATCTGCAATAAACAGATTTTTTTCTTTCTTGTTTATGTTTGGTTTTGCTTTGTTTTAGCCCCTTCTTTTCTTTTTAATTCCCTTTTCATTTTCCTTTTTTGGGTTTTGATTTTCCTTTGGGTTTATGGGTGCCCTGATACTCCAGCAGAGATCAGAAGGCTACAGATCCATCCTATCCATCCGTTACGTGGCTTTGCCATCCAAGCTTGGAGTGTCTTTACAAAGATAATAACAGTTGTGTTCTTTGCTCTCGTTTTGGATGCATAGACTGAGAACTTAAAAAATAACTTGTAAAATGGCTTGTTAAAAAAATACAATTACCTCTAATTAGTAGTACGCGTAAATGTTTTACAGAATGAAAGGCGTGCTTTTTATTTTCTTACTTCGTTACATTGGTGGCGAAAGAAGTCTGTATGAAATCAGTTCTTTGCTGACACAAGTTCCATTTGTTACAAATGAATTCTAATAAAAATGTCAGTGTTATGCAGCCCCGGCCTTTGCTTTTGTCCACTCAAGTGCATTGGTTGTGAATTGACTATGTGTTCCCTCTTCTGGTCATCTAGTGAGCTCCTCTGTTTACCAAGAGCCTACTATTTACAAGTGCCTACCTTGACATAAGCACTTTCCATTGATAAATCAACAGGCTCAGAATTTGCCCAAGTTCACACAGCAAAGAAAGAGATCATAGACAATGTTTGACCCTGTGGAAGATGACTACGATATAAAGTGCATTACAATATATGTGAGCATGATTATCTTGAAATGGTATATGGCTCTCGTGCACATAAAAATAGATCCATGGAGTTACTTTTTAAAAAATCTTCGTGAACATGGATTATTAACTCATTCAGTATTATCGAACACCGAAAATAGATCAGAACTGCTCTAGGTATTGGGCAAGTAGCTCTGAACAAATACAACATTGCTATTGTTTACATAGAAATTACTGTCTAGTGAGAGAAAATAACGCAGTAACAAAGTTATACTCAACTGATGTCAAGGAAAATAGGGAATCCATGAAGATAGCACTTTTAAGTTTGTGACAGAAAGTCTGACTCCAGGAAAATAAAAGCATTTATTGGTTCATACTAAAAGAATAGGCATACACAATCTTTAGGCACAACTGGATTCAGGGCTTAGGTCATATCTTAAAACCTGACATCTTTCACCATCTTCCTGCCTGATTCCTATTTTCTTAATGTGAATTTTTAGCTTCTCTTTGTGGTTCCTGGAAGCTTCAGGACCATAGTACTACAAGCCAAGCAAGCAGAAGAGTTCACTTTCCTGACAGCAAAAACAAAATTTCTGGAATGGATTTTTAAGTGGCTTTCACCTTGCCAAACAGCAATAAATATTCTAAGACATACAAGCTGCTGTTCATCGAGTTCATAAGTTAAGGAAAGGCAAACCACTGGTATGTCTGTTAATGCAATCAACAACATCAAGAAAACTACTTGTTGTCACGGAAATGACAGAATGAAACAATCCTGTTATTTAAACCTTATTTTGGAAATTCTGATGCTGAATATATAATTAGACTCTTCCTGTCTTTCTGCCTAATCTTTAGTTTGATAGATTTGATTGTGGTAGCACACAATCCTTATCCAAAAAATTAGAACAAAAATTTACAGAACATTGTTTTTGGTATTTTTTAAAATATCTTTTGTCATTGGATCTTTATTTATTATATGTGATAACTGAGAATTGAACCCTGTGCCTCCCACTTGCTAGGCAAGTGTTCCACCACTGAGCCATGACCCCAGCCCCTGTTATTGGTATTTTGATCATTGCAATTCATTATTTTATATACAGATAAATTTTGTCACCTGCCAATGATGACAAAATATAACTTTGCACATATACACAATGCAGAAATTACTAATTAATAATAACCCAGCTAATAACTAGCTTAAGACTCACTTAATCCTATCCAAGATTAAACTTTTAAAAAAATAATTTCAGTAAATTAAAATGTAACTTGTAGAAGCAGAGCAAGATGGTAGAAAAGAGCCTC